CCCAAGTAGCTGGGACTACAGGCACGCACCACCATGTCCAGCTAATTTTTGTATTTTGAGTAGAGACAGAGTTTCACCATGTTGGCCAGGCTGGTCTTGAACTCTTGACCTCAAGTGATCCACCCTCCTCAGCCTCGCAAAATGCTGAGATTACAGGCCTGTACCACTGTGCCTTGTCTGCAATGAAATTTTTTTTTTTTTTTTTGAGATGGAGTTTGTTCTTGTTGCCCATGCTGGAGTGCAATGGTGCAATCTTGGCTCATAGCAACCTCCGCCTCCTGAGTTCAAGTGATTCTCCTGCCTCACCTCCAGAGTAGCTGGGATTACAGGTGCACGCCATCATGCCGGACTAATTTCATATTTTTAGTAGACAGGGTTTCTCCATGTTGGTCAGGCTGCTCTCAAACTTCCAACCTCAGGTGATCTGCCCGTCTCGGCCTCCCATAGTGATGGGATTACAGGCATGAGCCACCATGCCTGGTCTGCAATGAAACATTTTTAAAAGGAGGAAATGCTAGCTCTTTGCGTATTTTGTGACAGGCCTAATGAAAACAGCTGCCTTCAGTGTGAGGGGTTTGCTCCATCTCTTTGAGCCTCAGACATGACTGTGCTGGTGGCTTCCGGGAGAAGTTTACATATCTAAGTTCAAGTACATAGGTGGCCAACATGGTTGATGCTTTTATCATCAAACTCCCCCTAACATTCTTTGCAGTGAGGAGAGGGACTATCTCTTAAAACCAAACCACCATTATGAAGGGGCTTAGAATAAGAAGTCCACTTTTGGAGACTTATATTTGGAGAATTCTGGGAATCCAACCCCAAGAATGCTGGCCCCTTTCCCCAATTGTGACAGTCTTTTGAACTTCAGGATTTGGCAGTCTGTCAAACCAAATAACTCTGGGTGCAAAAGTCAACGGAATCCAGAACAATCTCTGCCTCATTGCTGCAGGCTGGAAATCTCTAACAGGCATGCCTTGGAATCCTTGCCCTTTTACCCTTTTTAGTTAGAACAGATTCTCTGGTATAAGAATCTGCAGGAACATTTTTTTCCTAACATTGTTTTTTAATATTTTATTTTCTTTCTTTTTTTTTTTTTTTTTTTCTTTTTTTTTTTTGAGACAGAGTCTTACTTTGTTTCCCAGGCTGAAGTGCAGTGGCACAATCTCGGCTCACTGCAACCTCTGCCTCCCGGGTTCAAGCGATTCTCATGCCTCAGCCTCCTAAGTAGTTGGGATCACAGGCACACGCCACCTCACCCAACTACTTTTTGTATTTTTAGTAGAGACAGGGTTTCACCATGTTGGCCAGGTTAGTCTTGAACTCCTGACCTCAAGTGATACCTGCCTTGGCCTCCTAAAGTTTAGGGGTTACAGGCGTGAGCCACTGTGCCTGGCCACAACATGATTTTTTATTTTTATTTTTATTTTTATTTTTTTAATAACAAGACACTTGGCTGCTTTGTTGAGACAGAATTTTCAAGATTTCACATTTCAGTCTCTAGGCCTAAGTATCCTGGTGGCATCACTTGGATGTCTTCATTAAAGTCACCTGTGGCTGGTGGTGGTGGCTCACACTGGTAATCCCAGTACTTTGGGAGGCCTTTAGGTGGATCACTTGAGGCCAGGAGTGCAAGACCAGCCTGGCCAACATGGCAAAACCCCATCTCTACTAAAAATACAAAAAGTAGCTGGGTGTGGTGTCATATGCCTGTAATTCCAGCTACTTGGTGGCTGAGGCATGAGAATTGCTTGAACCTGGAAGGTGGAGGTTACAGAGAGCTGAGATCTTGCTACTATACTCCAGCCTGGGCAACAGAGAAAGGCGCTGTCTCAAAAAAAAAAAAAAAAAAAAAAAAGTCACTTGTTAAAGTGAGTGGACCGCTTTGGAACATTCAGTCAGATTCTGCTACCCAAAGGCTGGAAACCTGGCTTCCCAGCGCACAGTGGAGGAGAGAAGTGTGTACTTCAGGATGAGGCTGAAGGCTCTTGGACAGGGAGCCTGGCCAGTGTGCTCCAAATACACCATTACTTATGTTCAATTACACATTAGGAGAAGGGAAAAGAATGAGGAAAGCAAATTAATGCTTAATCACTGTTAATACCCAATGCGCTTCTAAGGAAGGCCCCTGTGCCTCACTGTGGAGCTCTACATATGCCTGTGTGGTGACCCCAACCACACCTGTAATGTCATAATTAACATTTAGAATTCTCCACCTTGGTTGCATTTTGCATGGTGGATGGGGTTGAGTGGGTGGGGGTGTTAAAAAAATCCCAGCACTTTGGGAGGCTGAGGCCACCAGGTCATCTGAGGTTGGGAGTTCAAGACCTGGCCAACATGGTGAAACCTCGTCTCTACTAAAAATACAAAAATCCAGCCAGGCGTGGTGGCATGTGCCTGTAATCCCATCTACTTGGGAAGCTGAGGCACAAGAATCACTTGGATCTAGGAGGCAGAGGTTGCAGTGAGCCAAGATTGCGCCACTACACTCTAGCCTGGGCGACAGAGCAAGACTGTCTCAAAAAAAAAAAAAAAAAAAAAAAGACGATGTCATGGTAATGATTTTGTTCATTACCGTAAGATATATGAGTCACCCCAGTCTTACCTTGTGGTCTAAAGGCAAGCAATGGCCACTTCAGTTCCACTCTGTCACGTGCCCCACTTGCCCAGCACATACCTTCTTTCCTCCCCAGCTGAGACACTGTCTTAGCTCATGCCCTGTCTTAGCACTGAACTGTGCTATTGAAGAATATGGATACTCACTCACCTTCTTGCTCTCTTGTCTCTGGCTTCCTTGAATTCCAGCCTCTAGGAACCAGATCCTGACTCTGGCTTGCTTGGTTGGTGACTATACCTCCTACTGGGGGTTGTGGATCCTAGCTACTAGGGAGGCTGAGTCAGGAGAAATGCTTGAACCCTGGAGGTGGAGGTTGTGGTGAGCTGAGATCACACCACTGCACTCCAGCTTGGGCAACAAGTATGAAACTCCGTCTCTGAAAAAAGAAAAAAAAGGTATTTAGATTCTCATCAGCAATTTGGGAAGCAGGAACTAACACTACCCCCATTTTACAGTCACAGATATAAATGCCCAGAAAGGTTAAGTGTGATTCAGGCGGAGAGTGGTGGCTCAGGCCCGTATTCTGAGCACTTTGGGAGGCCAAGGTGGGAGGATCACTTGAGCCCAGGAGTTTAAGACCAGCCTGGGCAGCACAGCGAGACCCCATCTCAATTTAAAAGAAAAAAAAAGGAAAAAAGAAAGAAAGGTTAAGTGATTCATATACAACCACCCAGCTGTGGATTTTACTGCATTTGATTCTGTCATCCAAAGAATCCATTATTTGAATTTTAGCTGTAAAACAGCAAAATAGGCCAGGCGCGGTGGCTCATGCCTGTAATCCCAGCACTTTGGGAGGCCGAGGCGGGCAGATCACGAGTTCAAGAGATCAAGACCATTCTGGCCAACATGGTGAAACCCCGTCTCTACTAAAAAATGCAAAAATTAGCTGGGCGTGGTAGCACATGCCTGTAGTCTCAGCTACACAGGAGGCTGAGGCAGGAGAATTGCTTGAACCCAGGAGGTGAAGATTGCAGTGAGCCGATATTGGGCCACTGTACTCCAGCCTGGCGCCTGGTGACAGAGCGAGAATCTGTCTTAAAAAAAAAACAAAAAACAAAAAACAGCAAAAATTATCACCCATTTACTTGGGTGACTTGAGAATTTACGTGGTGAGGATTAAAGGGATATGGAGGCAAGATTAGTGAGGATAGCATAAATAAGGCTAAGGCACTGGAATCCAACCGAATAAAGTGTGGGCATTAAAGATTACTCCAGTGTTTGGTATTCATCATCTTGGGCTGCCGTAACAAAATACCACAGACTTGGATGGCTTAAAGAATAGAAATTTATCTTTTCATGATTCTGGAGACTTGAAGTCTGAGATGAGGATGCCAGCGTGGTCCGCTTCTATGAGGGCTCTCTTCCAGGCTTGCACACAGCCACCACCTCGCTGTATCCTCGTATAGCAGAGGCAGGGAGACAGAGGAGGAGAAAACAGAGGGGAGAGGATTTTCTGTGCAAACCAGTGTGCTCCCTGTGTCTTTTCTTTTTTTTCTTTTTTTTTCTTTTGTTTGAGACGGAGTTTCAGTCTTGTTACCCAGGCTGGAGTGCAATGGCGCGATCTCGGCTCACCGCAACCTCCACCTCCTGGGTTCAGGCAATTCTCCTGTCTCAGCCTCCTGAGTAGCTGGGACTACAGGCACACGCCACCATGCCCAGCTAATCCCTGTGTCTTTTCTTACAAGAACTGTAATCCCATCCTACAGGGGTCCACCCTCAGGAGCTCGTTTAACCTTATCTCCTGATACTAGTCACCCTGAGAATAATATATGCATTTTAAATAGGAATTTGGGAGGACATAATTAAGTCCATAGCATGTTTCTAGAGAAATCATTAATTCTCAGGGTTGGAAAATAATACAAAGATCATTTTATATTTCTTTACTTTTTTTGTGTGGTGGAGACGGGGGTCTTGCTATATTGCCCAGGCTGGCCTAGAACATCTAGGCTCAAGTGATCTTCCTACCTCAGCCTCCTGAGTAAAGACATCATCTTTTTATTTGCATGTTCCTTCTCACTAACTAATTTCTCTGCTCAGCTTCCTTTCCTTGGGCAGGCATTGAGGGGAGACTTTCTGCTAGAGTCTACCCTGGGGCTCTGAGAACAGTTATCTAAACAGACTTTAATTGTTCCCTTCTAAGGCCTTTTTTTTTTTTTTCCTTTTTCTTTTTTTTTCTAAGGCCTTTCTTGCCCTTGAGTTGGTTATTCATGAAAATGCTTCAGGGATTCCCAGAGAAAGCCCCCCTAGTTCTAAGGTGCTGGCTTTCACTCTGGATTCAATGCTCTCTCTTCCATAGCTCACTCAGCCTGACTGTCTATCTTAAGGAAGGGGAGAAGCTACATTGCTGGGGAGCTGTACTTATTCCCAGAACTATTTTACCCTTTAGGTGAAGAGGATGTTGGAAAACAATCCCAAATACAGGTCTGAAGACTCATCCCAGTGATAGTGATGGCCTCCAAAAGCATCCTCCACGGTATGAGACCGAAGATTTAGCTTCTCTTTGAAAGATTGTAACTTCCTGTTTTTGTCCTAAGAGGCTTTTTCTTACTAACTTGTCAGAAGAGGACTGTCTGAGAAAATCTTAAGAGGCCCTTACTGTAAGACTTTCAAGAAGTTTAAAGTGTGGCTTTCTCAGCAGGGCACTCCTGTGAAGGAGAAGTTAAGATTTTAGTAATTTTCTAGAACAGGCTGGGCAGTCTCTCAGAGGCCTGCACCATCTGGATGGGGGGTGAGGGGAGGAGAACGCATAGGAAGGAAGCCTGTGGTCCCCTCCACTTCAGCGCATCCGCTTTGGCTACCACAGGCCAACCCCAGGGTGGACCCCATCTCTGTTGCTAACCACTTTGTTGCCAAGTTACCTTTCTGGAGGCACATTTTCCTCAGAATGGCTCTGCCAGGGAGTGCCTCCTTAATTTGTGTGTGTGTGTGTGTGTGTGTGTGTGTGTGTGTGTGTGTGTACCTCCTTAATTTTGTACCCTGAGCCTCTTATTCCCCTCACCCTAGTCCTGCCCTAGATACTAATATCTTCCTCACTGGGATTGGTGTAGATTAAATTACAGAATGTGGGACAGGTGTGGTAAGATGTGCAATCCCAGCACTTTGGGAGGCCATGGCTGGCAGACAGCTATCTATCTCTATCTATCTGTGTGTCTATCTATTTATCTATATATCTAACATATATATATATATATATATATATATATATATATATAAATTGATACTATATGGATAGATATCTATAATACACATAATATAAATCTATAATATATATTTATATAAATATATATATGTATATATATGTTTTTGAGACAGAGTCTTGCTCTGTTGCCCAGGCTGGAGTGCAGTGGCATGCTCTTGACTCAACTGCAACCTCCACCTCCCAGGTTCAAGCTATTTCCAGCTAATTTTTTTTTTTTTTTTTTTTTTTTTTGAGGCAGATTTTGGCTGTGTCGCCCAGGCTGGAGTGCAGTGGCGTGATCTTGGCCCATTGAACTTTTGCCTTCCGGGTTCAGGCGATTCTCCTGTCTGAGTCTCCTGAGTAGCTGGGAGTACAGACACCTGCCACCATATCTGGCTAATTTGTATTTTTTTAGTAGAGACGGGGTTTCGCCATATTGGCCAGGCTGGTCTTGAACTCCTGAGCTCAGGCAATCTGCCCACCTTGGCCTCCCAAAGTGAGAAGCTAGATATTTGTAAGTAATTTAATAAAGGAATGTTTGGGTATAATTGCTAGATTCGACATAAAATTTGTTAATGTTTTACAGGGCAGTAAATTATAAACTTTGGAGTTATTTTTTCTACTGGGCAAAAATAATTTGTATCTCTTTTAGGTAAAATCCAACAAGCTGAAAACTTTAATCAACAATGATTCCAAGTAAGTACATTCCCCCGGTTCAATGGCTCTCCAATCTGGTCCATGAGACCTCCCCAGGGGTCGTGGAGAAGTTTTCAAAGGATCTGTGTGTTCAAACCGATTCTAATAATAATACTAAGACATTATTTGCCTTTTTCATGTTGCTAACATTTGTATTGATGATTCTAAACAAATGGTGGCTAAAGCTGCTGTCACTTTCACACGAATCAAGACAGTGACACCAAATGGAAGTGGCAGTCATTGTATTCAAGCCACCACGCCCAGCTAATTTTTGTATTTTTTTTGTAGAGATGAGGTTTCACCATGTTGGTCAGACTGGTCTCTAACTCCTAGCCTCAAGCAATCCACCTGCCTCAACCTCTTCAAGTGCTAGCATTGGAGCTATGAGCCACTGCTCCCAGTCTCATCTTGCATTTTAAATGGCTCTTTTGCTTGCATGGTGGCTTGTGCCTATAGTTCCAGCTACTCAGGAGGCTGAGGTGGGAGGATGGCTTAAACTAGAGAGGTTGAGGTTGCAGTGAGCTATAATCATGCCACTGCACTACAGACTGGAGTGAGGACCTGTCTCAAAATAAAACAAAATAGATTAAAAAGTAAAATAAAATGTAAGATGAACCAGTGAATTTTTGCTGAGACCAGCTCGGTCGTAGAGACCCCAACCCAGGTGGCGCTGAAGGAATTAAGAAACAGAAACAAAGATAGAGTACAAAAGTGGGATCAAAGTGGGATGTCAGGGGACTGCCAGCATTTCCCAGCTGACAGCCCAGAGCAGACTCTGATCCATGTATTTATTCTCTGTGAACAAGTGATTATTGTTAATAAGCAGGTGCTCAGTGTTTCCTCATAGAATAAAGATAGACTAAACAGGCAGATAGTGCCTGTTCACTACTGAGACAGAAATAAGCTAAAAAAAAAAAAAAAACACTCCTCGAGTCAGCAGTGGTGACAAGGTCAGATATCCTGTGTTTGGGGAGCTGGTTTAACTAGTGCATGACCAGTACATACTGCTTGCTTATTCTAGCAGTTTCCTTCCTGGGGATGGCTCAGTGTTCCTTGACATCACTTCTCAGCAAACAACATATACTCCATTACACAAACGTCAAGACCTCCTCCCAACAAATTTTAATGTAATTGAATTTGAAAAGTTCAGTGCTATGGTTCCAGATTCTACCTTGGAATTAATGTTTAAGAAACTACCATTTGGCCAGGTGCAGTGGCTCATGCCTGTAATCCTAGCTCTTTGGGAGGCCAAGGTGGGCAGATGACCTTAGGTCAGAAGTTCGAGACCAGCCTGGCTAACATGGTGAAACTGGACTCTACTAAAAACACAAAAATTAGCTGGGCATGGTGGCGCACATCCGTAATCCCAGCTATTTGGGAGGCTGAGGGAGGAGAATCACTTGAACACAGGAGGTAGAGGTTGCAGTGTGCTGAGATTGCGCCATTGCACTCTAGCCTGGGCAACAAAAGTGAAACTTCTCAAAAAAAAAAAAAAAAAAAAAAAAAAAAAAAAAAAAAAAAAAAGAGAGACTGCTGTTTGTTGAATTACAGTGCAGTATCAAAGAAGCACATCCACAATTATCTGAAAAGTGTAATGACATACTCCTTCCTTTTCCAACTATACATATATATGAGATCATATTTTCTTCATATATGCCAACCAAAACAATATGTCAAAATGAGTGGAATAGATAAGCGGATAAAAGAAAGCATCCGTCTTCTATTTAATGCAAACGTTAAATGGATTTGCAAAAATGTAAAATAATTTCACTCTTTTTACTAAAGTTTTCTGTCTTGAAAAACATATTTTTACTGAAAGTGTTATTTATTTTAATAATGGGTTTATTATTGTCATTTAGAAATGAATTTGTAGGCTGGGCATGGTGGCTCATGCCTGTAATCCCAGCACTTTGGGAGGCTGAGGCGGTGGATCATGAGATCAGGAGTTTGAGACCAGCCTGGCCAATGTAGTGAAAATTAGCCAGGTGTGGTGGCTATGTGCCTATAGTCCCAGCTACTTGGGAGGCTGAGGCAGGAGAACCACTTGAACCTGGGAGGCAGAGGCTGCAGTGAGCCAAGACCATACCATTGTACTCCTGCCTGAGTGACAGAATGAGACTCCATCTCAAAAAAAAAAAAAAAAAAAAAAAGAAATGAATTTGCAAATAAACTTCCCAGTTTCAATTTCTAATATATAAACATTGATAGCTATAACTCATAAACAAAAGTTCTTGGGCCTTTCAGTAATTTGTCAGAGTAGAAAGGGGTTCTGAGACCACAAAGGTCATTCTTGGGCTGAGCGACATGCTGCCCACCTTTTTTTTTTTTTTTTTCTTGAGAGCGTTCTATGCCTGTACCACATGGACTGTGTGGTAACTCTGCACATTCACCAGTTTTCCATTTGAGTGACTAGGAAAACCTTCTGCATACAATGCTTTGTGATGTCCTTTGGCCTCTACTTGTTTACACAGTAAGTCCACGTCCATTCTTTTTCCCTCTAGCCTGTGACAATTCAAATAGCATTATTTGGCTCTAATCCCATCTAAACACTGTGCCAGTGTAGATTGTGAAACCATGTTATGGTATTCAGAGGCAGGCCAGAGGTCCCAGAACCTGCAACCGTGAATCTAATTTTAAATAGTAATCAAATGGAAAGACAGATCTGAAAGTCCATAAGCGTCTGGAAGTGAGTCTGCAGATCCCAGCATGAGAAGCCTGAGCTTGCTGGCTTGAGCATAGGTGCCCAGAGCCATATCAGGAACCACAGGGTGGCTGGAAATATGATAGTTGTTATCAATGTGTGGCTACTTAGTTTTTCCTTAGAAACCATCTCAAGAGTTGTTCCCTTTATTTCTATGCTAAGGTTGAAGTTTGAAAGTTTTCCTCTGAGCTTTCTTGATCACTAAAGGACCAAAAATCTAAGTCTAGGTTCACCCTTAGTTCTTCCACCCAAAATCTCCATCAGATACTGCATCCACCCCCTTGCCTCCCTCTCATAGATGCCTGGGTACCAAGGTCCTGAGTCATCTTCCTGCAATTATCCCACACTCTGGCCTCACCACGTTGCTATTAGGCTCTTCAGCAGGTCATTGCGTGGGCATCCGCAGGCACACTAAACATTTATATCTCATAAAACATTCCTTTCTGCCCTTAAAAAGTCAATCAGTATTTTCTTTCTTTCTTTCTTTTTTTTTTTTTTTTTGAGATGGAGTTTCGCTCTTTGCTCTTGTTACTCAGGCTGGAGTGCAATGGTGCGATCTCAGCTCTCTGCCTCCTGGGTTCAGGCAATTTTCCTGCCTCAGCCTCCTGAGTAGCTGGGATTACAGGCACGTGCCACCGTGCCCATCTAATTATTTGTATTTTTTGTAGAGACGGGGTTTCACCATGTTGACCAGGATGGTCTCGACCTCTTGACCTCATGATCCACCTGCCTCGGCCTCCCAAAGTGCTGGGATTACAGGCGTGAGCCACCGCGCCCGGCCTGTCAATTGGTATTTTCTTCGTAATCCATGTATCTCAGAGTTGATACGCCAACACTCATTGAGAGTTTCCTCATGTCCCCTTATGTCAAACAACTCTCCAATATTTAGTTTCAGCTCTGCTGTTTACTAGCTGTGTGAGCTTGGGCAAATCACTTCGTTTTCTAAGCCTCAGTGTCCCCATATGTAAAATGCTATGTGCCCTGCCTGCCATGCAGAGTCGGGAAACTCAAACTTGATGAACAATGTGAACATATTTTAAAAATTATGGGTCGGACGCAGTGGCTCATGCCTGTAATCCCAGAACTTTGGGAGGCTAAGGTGGGTGGATTACTTGAGGCCAGGAGTTCAAGACCAACATGGTGGAACCCCGTCTCTGCTAAAAATACAAGAATTAGCTAAGTGTGGTGGCAGGTGCCTGTAATCCCAGCTACTCAGGAGACTGAGACACGAAATTTGCTTGAGCCTGGGAGGCAGAGGTCATAGTGAGCTGAGATTGTGCCACTGTACTCCATCCTGGGTGACAGAGTGAGACTGTCTCTAAATAAATAAATATAATTATAAAGTGCTAGTCAAATGCAAGTTGGTAGTGAAACAGGCCTTGACATTATTTCATACTCACTTTATGATTCCTCCATCAAGGCTAGACAAGTGTCAGCACAGATCAACATAGATCAACATATAGAAGATTTAGGAACACAAGATTCTTTAACAGAAGATATTTTTCTGCCTTGCTTCTTCTAATTGCAATATATCATATTTGATCATTGTGGTGCTTGATGAATTTATTTTGGAACTTATTATGATAGAATGAGAAATCATTGGCCTTTCCAAATAGATCATGGCTACCTCCCTATTGGAGAAAGAGGTACTCTGTAGAGTAACTAGGTTAACTTAGAATATCTATACCCTGAAAGGCCAGTTTTCTTTTTATAATGTAAACATATTAAGATAATTTGGAAATAAAAAAAGAGAAATCACCCATATTCCTACCATCTTTTTTTTTTTTTTTTTTTTTTTTTAGATGGCGTTTCGCTCTTGTTACCCAGGCTGGAGTGCAATGGCGCAATCTCGGCTCACTGCAACCTCCGTCTCCTGGATTCAAGCAATTCTCCTGCCTCAGCCTCCTGAATAGCTGGGATTACAGGCACGCGCCACCATGCCCAGCTAATTTTTTGTGTTTTTAGTAGAGACGGGGTTTCACCATGTTGACCAGGATGGTCTCGATCTCTTGACCTCGTGATCCACCCGCCTCGGCCTCCCAAAGTGCTGGGATTACAGGCTTGAGCCACGGCGCCCGGCCATATTCCTACCATCTTAACACAGGTCTGTGTTTTTGCCCATTGCAGCCTAGTTGGCATCCGTAAGCACTTAAGAGGGCTGTAATTACAATGTACAGATCATTTTGGTATTCTGCTCTTTTTCCACTTAAGCATTTCTCCACGTTTATTTTTTCTTCTTTTTGTGATTATACTTTGATAGGCATCCACATTTCTACATAGACTCCGTGTTTATCATTTTAATGGTGAAATAATACTCCATGAACTGAATTAATTTTGATTTCCTTTGGGTCAGGATGTAGGTTGTCTCCAGGTTTTTATTTTTCTGCTATTAATAATGCCACCACAAACGGGCCAGGCACGGTGGCTCACATCTGTAATCCCAGCACTTTGGGAGACCAAGGTGGGTGGATCACCTGAGGTCAGGAGGTTGAGAGCAGCCTGACCAACATAGTGAAACCCCATCTCTACTAAAAAATACAAAATTAGCCATGTG